TCCCACTGCAGCAGCCATGCTCCTTTCCAGGAATTTACAGGTTAGTGCACCTCTGTAATCCCAGCCTTTGGGAGGCTGAGGCAAGAAGTTCACAAGTTTGAGCCCAACCTGGGCAACTTAGTGATTTAGTGTGACTCTGTCTCAAAATCAGTCAATCAATCAATCAAGTGCATAAAATAAAAAGAGATAGGACATGGCTCTGTTCCCAGGCCCTGCATTTAGTCCCCAGTACTGACAAGTAAAATGGTCTGGGGTCATGATTAGGAATTCTTCCTCTGTCCTTTGGAGACAATGGTGCGTCTCCCACAAGTCAGGAGGGTGTCTTTCCCAGGGATGTGGCATATGATCCACAAGGCTGGGCCTCTGTCTCTAGTCTCATGGGAAGATGGAAGCCTAACTGATCACTGCCAGTTAGCCTCGCAGCTGACCTGATCACTTTCCCCCTCACCAATGCTTTATCTTTCTCTACTTTCCCATCCCTGCTGAGTTCTAGATCATCCCCTCCCTCAAACTCCCCGGAAAATGACCAGGATCTCTGCACAGACCACAGCAGAGATCAGCGCTCGGTTCAAAATGAAATCTCCTTCCACAGCTTCATCTAACTCATGGTGGGCTTCATCTCTGAGGCTGTGGGCTGGGGGAGTAACACAGCATCTGAAGAGACAAAGTGAGCAGGAGTCAGCCAAGCTACGTGAGAGAAGCTATGGGCCAAGCTGCAGGGTGAGAATGTTCCAGGTTTGGGAGAAACCAAGACTGGCCCAGAAGGCCAGAGGTGTAAAGGGGGCAGTTGTAGGTCTACCTGGCACAGGGTTGTTTTTTACCCTTTTTGTTTTGGTGCCAGGGATCGAACTCACTTCCTCGTGTTTGCCAAGCAGGCACTTACACCACTGAGCTAAACCTCCGGCCTGTTTTTACCCTTTTTAGAGACAGCCTGTCTATTCAACTTCAGTGAGAGTCCCTTGCCTACCTAGAGTTTCTCCCAACCCACCCAGCCTCCTTCCCTCTCCTATCAGCTCCATGGGGCCAAAGGCTCTCAACTGTCCCTTCCCCTCTCTGCTGTGCTGGTTTGGGGGTGTCCAGCACTCTAGAGATGAAGCTGCAAAGCCACATGGCACGCCCTGCCATTAAAAGATCAGGGCAATTTATGTGCCATAAAGCTTGTCTTTCAGAAGTATGTAATCAGTGGTTTTAGTGCATGCAATTGTCACCATCACCTAAATCCAGAATGTGTTTCATACAAAAAGAAAGCTCACATGCATTAGTAGTCACTCCACAATTTCCCATCACCCAACCCCTGGCAGTCACTAATCCACATTCTGTGAACAGAGTCTTGCAATACATGGTCTTTGGTATCTGGGGTCTTTCGCTCAGTATAAGGTTTTCGAGGTCCACCTATGCTGTACCCTGTGTCTGAACTTTCTTTTCATGGCTGAACAATGTTCCTCGCTGTGGTTATGCTACATTTTCTTTAACCATTCATTAATTGGTGGACATGTGGGAAGCTGCTGTTCTTGGTGCTTGTGAAAAATGTTTCCGCAGACATACATGTTGGTCTTTTGTGAACACATGTGAATATTCATTTCTCGCTCACTGGGTGTCTGGGTCACACAGGAACTGCAGGATCACATGGTGAACTATGTTTCACATTTCAGGGAACTTCCCAGAGACGACTTCCAGCTCTTGCTACTGTGACTCCAGCTGTTTTGGGTGGGAGGTGGCACATGCCTTCTTAACCCTTCATTCCTCCCAGTTCTGCCTCATCTGACATAGCCTGGAGTGGGGCCAGACCCCTTCTGCCTCCTGAGTGGGTGGGTAAGGGCTAGCGAGGAAAGCTTACAAACAAGAGGAGTTCTCATATAACTTCAATACATTTGCTTCCTCCTTTTCCTTCTGCCCTCCTGTCTTTCCTTTCCTTTCCTTTTCTTCTCCCTCTCTTTTTATTTTTATTTTTTATTTTTTGAGACAGAGTCTCGCCATGCAGTTCAGGCTGGTCTTGAACTCATTGTGTAGCCCAGGCTGGCTTCAGACTAGTAGTGATCCTCTTGCCTTGTCTCCTGAGTATTGGGATTACAGGCATACACCACCACATCCAGCCTTCTGACTCTGCTCTTTCTTTCCCTCTGAAGTACTGGAGAGTAAACCTCATGTATGGTAAAGGAAGAAATGTACCACTGAAATACATTCCCAGTCTTTTTTATGTTATCTTTTTTGGGGGGTGGAGACTGAACTCATGGGTGCTTTTCCACTCAGCTACATGTCCAGCCTTTATCACATTTTATTTTGAGACAGAGTCTTGCTAAGCTTGCTAGGCTGGCCAGGAACTTGCCATCCCCAACCTTAGCCTCACAAGTAAATGGGATTACAGGCTAGTACTGCCGAACTTGGCTACCTCTATTGATTTCTGAAGCACCTAGGAGAAGCCCTACTTTCCCAAGCCTGAGGCCACAATCTGCTGGGCCCTTTCATTTAAGACCTGCTAGGAGGTACTGGGGTAGAGCTTTGCAGCTCTGGCCATGGTTCATTCTGTTCCCACAGCCTTTCTCTGGAAGCTAGTCCCATCCTGAGCCATACTCTACAGGGCCCTGAGGACAAGAAGAAAGGCTCAGGGAGGAGTGGGACATGAGTGACTTAGTGGCAGCCAGGACAGCAGAAGGATGGGTGTCGATTCCCTGATCCCTGCTTTTACCCAGGCATAGCCTGTCCCTGGAGTGTGTCGCCCCCTGCAGGTGTGAGCTCAAACTCAGGTGACGCACACTTCCTTGCAGGCTGTGCCCATCCCTACACAGCTGCTTGTCTCACAGCAATACCTGCATCCTGCCTTTGCCCTGACATGAGCAAAGCCTGGCCTGGGCGTGGTGATCCCCTCCCAGCAATGGTGCACTGGGAAGCTGGCTTTCCCCAAAGTCCCTAATTTGCAGCATTTGGGAAGAGCCAGCTTCCCAGTTTCCTAAATTGGCCAAATGTCACCATGGACCTGACATTCCATGATGGTTTGGCCAATTTCAAGCTACTGATGTGAAGCCACTGTACCCAGAAGTGGGAGGAGATGTGCACAGCTGATCTACACTCCAGATCACAGATCTCAGGGGTGACAACATGAGTAGCCAGGGTTAGATAGCCCCACCTCTTGGTCTGAAAGCAAACAAACCCTGGGAACAATCCATGCCCCAGGGACTCCACCTTGTGTTGTTCCTTCCCACTCATCCCCTTTTGATGTCCTTCCCAGGGCTCTACCTCAATAAATCATGTGTATATAGTAGATCCCTGTTTCAGACTCTGTTTCCAGAGTTCTTGACCAGAGAGAAACTTCTCCATTGATTGGTGGCCCCAGCAGTCTCTGTCCTAAGGTCTCCCTTTGCCAGCTTGAGGGTTTCTGCCCATGACTGGGAGAGGGCATGACTATGCTCCTGACATTGCTGTGGAATCAGAAGTGCTCTCTACTATGAGCAAGAAATTTGAACTCTGGTACTCTCTACCCATGGCCCAGGGCAAGGCCCTTCCGCCCCTGGAGCAGTGGAGTCCTATGTCACAGGAGAAGGGGGGCTGTGGAAGTTTCTGTTCAGATCACAGACATCTGGATTCACCTTTTCTAGTGGACAGCAAGCCCTCCTTGTTTAACTAAGGCCTTAGGAAGGTCTGCTGTAGTGCTGACATCATGCCCGGTCATTTGTTGTGGTGGAGCTGTCCCAAGTACAGGCAACTGTTCAGCAGCATCCATTGCTTCTGCCCACTTGATGCCAGTAGTACCCTTCACAAAGTGAGGCCGTGTCTTGAAAAACAAAATAAACTCAGGAGGTTGAGGCAGGAAGATTGTTGCAAGTTCAAGATCAGCCTGGGTTACAAGATGAACCCAAAGCCAGCCCAAACTGCATAGCAAGACTCTGTCTCAAAAAGACAAAAAAAAAAAAAAAAAAAAAAAAAAAAAGAACCAAACAAATTAATAATAATAATAAATGAGTGATGATATGGCTTATTGCTATAGTACTTGCCAAATATGCATAAGTACCTGGGTGCAATCCCCAGTACCAAAAAAAAGTGTGCAAAATACTTTTGGAGGCTAAACTAGGATAAAAAATTAAAGCCCATACTAGGCTATTCAGTGACTTAGACCTTGTCTCAAAATTAAAGATTAAAAAACAAAAAAACAAAAACAGGCCCAGGGATTTAGCTCACTGGTAGAGCACTTGCTTAAAATTCTGGAGGCCTGGGCTCTATTTTTAGTATTAAAAAACTAAAAAATAGCCTTCCAGGGGGAGAACCAGCAGCAGCTCCTGAGATCCACGCCATGTTGGAACTTAGGACGCTGTGAAACCAAACAACCAGCCTGCCTCCCTGCTAAGTAATAGTGAACCTTCTGATGCACGGCCTAGAGTCAAATATCCCACTTCCCCTACCCTCCTTGTTCTGTCCCCCCATTATCAAATGGGAACAAGAAATCTAAGCATCTCCTGGGAGGTTGACTTAGCAAATAAGGAGGACTTCCTTCTACCATCTCTTTGAAGGCAAATATTTTTATTACAGTTTTGCTCTTTTCTGATTAATGGTACTGCTCTATTCAATATTCTGTTTTGATAAGTTCTATATTTCATCTCATTTTGATATATTTGATTGAAAGAACAACTATTATAAAGATAGCAAAATATACTGTTATACCTGTTACTGATATCCCGGTAACCTGCTGTGAAGTTCTGTACCAATTTCACTGTACGATATTAGTTGGCTTTATTCTGTCTTGTTCTGTTGTATACTTTCAAAAAAAAAAAAAACTAAAAAATAGATCTCTTAGTTAACTGTAATTCTGTCCTTTGACCTATGCCTTGGTCCTGCATTGTACCAAGTGGCTTACATAGACTGATCACCACGCTGCAGAGACATCACATATGTTGACTAACCAAAGAGATTCTCCGGGAGTCTGCTTATATTACAGCAGCAGGTCTATGATTGGCCCAAATACAGGAGGACACTGATTGGTCCAAGTACAGTAAGGGGCGGGGCTGAAACTAGGGAATCTTCTGGAAGCCTGCTGTGGGTGTTGGAGAACTGAACAGTGGCCCGGATTTCTCCTTTAGACCCGTCAGGGTTCCCCTCTGCTTCTTCAAAAAGGCAGCAGCAGCAGCCCCTCCTGAAGTGAGGGAGCAGAAGGAGACCACGGTGACCGAGGAGTGAGGCCCTGCTGGTGCGGGAGGAGGAGCGCGGCAGCCATAGCGTACCCAGGTGAGTGGTCGCCTGAGGGGGAGGGCAGGCGCCGGGCACAGGGGAGGGGCAGCTCCGTGTCCCTGGCTTTGCGCCCTTTGTGGGCTGAGGGCCTGGCGCAGTGGGGCAGCGCTTGCCTAGCACGGGGCCCTGGTTTTGTTTCTCTGTGTCACACACGCGTGCGCACATAAGCACCAACTGCAGGCTCTGTGGTGCACAATTCATGCTTAGTGTGCTTCAGGATCCGAGTGCACATAGACGCAACATTAGGAATAAACCTAAAAACACATCATAAAACCCTGGGTGCGTGGTGCAGGATGCAAGGTAGATTTATTTTAGAATGTTCTGGAAGGCTGACCTCACTTGCCAGCCATGTGCTGATGGAGCCACTGGCTGGCACCTCGTTGTTTAGTTCCAGGCAACCCGGTTAAGAGTATGCGGTTTGCAGACTAAGAAACATATGTTCACGCTTGTATTTTCTTGTTCTTTTTTTGGTACTGGTTGTTGAACCCATGGTGTTCACATTGAGTCACAGCTCCAGTCCATCCATCCATCTGTGTTTCCTTCCTGCCTCTCTACCTACCAGATAGTGTTGCTAAGTCTCTAAATTGCCCAGGATGGACTACATCCCCAGCCCTTAGCTTGGCTACAATTGTAGTCTTTAAGCCCTTGGCACTTAAATAGTGCAAATCTCTAAGCTTTGTTGAATCAATGTTATATGCTAGGTACTGTTACAAGATTGGCACGCTTATATGAGATAAACCCTGAAACAGCCCTACATTCATGGTATTATAAGCTGAGATCAGTGAGCCAACATGACTGTTATCTATTTAGTGTCTGTATTTTATAGTGTCATAATTTTCTATATTTGCAAATTTTCCCACTTGCTAATTTACTTGTAACCTCCTCATTCAGTCCTGGTGGGATGGGTGCCACCGATGTGTGTACACACTTGTGTGTAGACCCATCTGAGTGGCCAGCTGCCATCATTTCTTCAGCTGTTTGAACAAGCTGACTGTCTAACTCTGCTTTCCAGCTCTGTGCTGTACACAGGTGTCCTCTGTGTGGTCTGTTCAATGCCATGTTTTCACATCTTTGCAATTTTTGTTGATTTCTCTTTTTAAGTGGCCGCATTCAAGGGGGTAGCTCAGTGGCAGAGCCCAGGGGTTGATCCCCAACACCTCTTAAAACCAGAGTGGCCCCTAGTTGCAAGCTCACATTCCTAAGGCCAAGAAGAGTGAGAAGTGCCTTGTGGAGAAAATACAGGTGGTGAAAAACTTCATCCAGCTGTGTATTATAGTCTGTGTGTCCTCAATATATATGAAATAAAATGTCTTTAAACAGAAATGCACATGAAACAAGTTATGTATTGGTCTCTTAATGAAAATATGACCAGAAGCTTAATGGAAACCAACCCTGTATTTCTTTTAACAGAAACGGTTTCATATAAAATAATTAGGTGACTTACATGATTTTGTAAAGCAGGCTTGGTGGCGGAAGCCAGTAATCCCAAACCTGTGGGACAATGGCTAGGAAGCTTTCAAGTTTGAACCCAGCCTAAGGAGAAAATTTTACTTTTATTTTTTGAGACGGGCTCTTGCTATGTAGTTCAGGCTGACCTCAAACTAGATGATCTTCCTGCCTCAGTTTCCCACATGCTAGGATTAACGAATGCATCACGATGCTTGAATTTGAACGCACCTATAGTTAAGGCCTGTGTTAAAATGAAAACTAAAGAAGAGCTGGGTTGAAGCTCAGGTGTAAAAGCACTGTATTTAGTCCCCTATATTGTGAACAACAATACAAAACATGACATTAAAGAACATGACTATGATATAAATAAAAATCAAGTATGTACACATATATCTATATAGTACACAGAAATACATACATTAGTGTATAAGATCTCATTTAATTCTTTTTTTTTAAGGAAAAAAACCAAAACAGTGTAAGGGTACAAGTAATACAGAATTTCAAAAAAAAAAACAGTAAGAGATCACTAGTTAGTAGATTATATATTATCATCTTAGAAATAGTTGTTCAAGTTACAGGATTAAAGCACACAAAGTGGACATTCAAACAGTGAGACTGCAAACAGTTGTGTTCAGTGATCCAACAAAAACTTAGTAATATGGTCATTTATCTTAATACACCTAAACACACATGCAGTTGTATCCTTTAGAGCACTTTTTTCCCCTCTCTTTTTTACAACAACATTTACACATTTTGGGTTTTATCATTCTCATAGTTCTTATTACTTTTTTTTGGAAGACAATAAAACCAAATATGAGAAAACAAATCAGTCAGTCAAAACAAACATGATATAAAAACAGATTACAAGGTAATCAACAATGGTTACCATAATGCCTCTAGCTTCCTTAAAATCATTAGATATAATAAAATTGAACAAAACAGTACAGAACAAGACCAATAAAACCTAAACATTGGAGACATTACAGGACTTCAAAAGAAGATAATAGTGAAACCAGAATGGGCATCATAGTGAATCTTATTGCCTTCAAAGTAGTTGCCTATATCCTCAAACTTGCTACTATCAGAACAGAACAGAGTAAAATCAGTCAAAACAAGATGGTGGGAGCAACGTAGGGCTTCAAATCAAGTTAACAGGAAATCAAAAATGTTGCTATAATATATCCTGCTAATATTTTGATTTTTTCTCTTAATTAAAAAAAAATAATAAATAAATAAATTTCCTTTTAAAAAAGGGGGGAGATTGAGATAAAAGAGGACATAACAACATAACAATACAGCTCAAAGCATAACAATTTCAGCAACCTAGTGCTTCACCACAAGGTAACCCGACTTAATGTTAGTTACCATAGTGTCTCTTCCATTGAAATATTTGAGTATAACTTCATATACCATGGCTTCAAACATATCAAGGCAGTGTGAAACCATTCAAGAGGATGAAAGTATTACAGGGTATTTAGAACCAGCTAACAGAAAAAGAACAATGGTTTCTATATTATATCTTTGCCTATAAAAATTTTTGTTATACTATCACATATAATAAATTCTAGTAAGATACAACATGATAAAACCAATGGAGACAGAAGAACAACAGTTTGGTGGGTCTTCAAAATAAGATGATATTAAATCAGCACTAGCTATTATGATGTCTTGTTTTCTTCAAAATAGCTGTTCATATCATCACAGGCAATAATATCATACAGCCCAGAATAAAGCCATTCCAGTTAATGAGTGAAAACTTTATAAGGCTTCAAAGCCACATAATGGGAGAATCATGATTACCACATACTTTTATATATTTGAATCATTTATTACAATAGGGAAACTATTCGGTATTCACACATGTGAGTTTGATTTATTTCACTTACGAGTATGGTCTCAAGCTGTGTCCATTTATTTATAAATGTCTCAGTGTGATCCTTCTTTATAGCTGAGTAGTACTCCATTGTATAAAAATATCACAACTTTTTAAATCGATTCCTCAGTTGATGGACACTTACGTTGTTTTCAAGATCTGGCGATTACAAACTGTGCTGCTATAAACATGGGTGCACATATATCACTGTGGTATGATGCTTTCAGTTCTTCTGGGCATATGCCTAGAAGTGGGATAGCCGAAACAAATGGAACTTCCAATCCCAGCTCTTTGAGAAATCTCCAGACTGACCTCCACAATGGTTGCACCAGTCTACACTCCCACCAATAATGCAGGAGGGTTCACTTTTTCCCCACAGCCTCTCCAGCATTTGTTGTTGATGGTTTTCTTGATCCTGGCCATTCTTTCAGGAGTGAGATGGAATCTCAGTATGGTTTTAATTTGCATTTCTCTAATGACTAATGATGATCAACATTTTTTCATGTATTTATTTGCCATTTGTATTTGTTCATCTTAGAAGTGTATATTCATCTCAGATGCCCATTTTTGGATTGGATCTTTAAATTTTGGGGGTCTGATTTTTAACAATTCTTTTTATGTTTTAAACAGAAGTCCTTTGTCTGAGGGAGAGTTCACTAAGATTTTTTTTCCCAGTTTGTGGGTTTTCTTTTCACTATGCTGGAGATTTCTTTTGACATGCAAAAACTTTTTAATAATAGGTGGTCCCAGTTATTGATTCTGGGAGGTATTTCCCATGTGGTTTGAGTCCTGTTCATGAATTCTCTACCTACCTCTATGTCTTCAAGGTTTCTACCCAATTTGTCTTCCAATAGATTTAGTGTTTCTGTTTTAATATTCAGATCTTTGATCCATTTAGATTTTAATTTAGTACATGGTGATAGCATGGGTCTAGTTTTAGTTTTCGGCATATGGAGAGCCAGTTTTTCCAACACCATTTATTAAAGAGAGTGTCATTCTTCCAGTGAACATGTTTGGCCCCTTTATAAAAGATAAGGTGGTTGAGTATGTTTGTAGTTTTGGTTGTATCTTCTAATCAATTCCCCTGATCTTCAGCTCTATTTTGATTCCAGTACCATGTTGATTTTACTATGGTTGCTTTATAGTACAACTTCAAGTCAGGGATTGTGATGCCTCCTGCCTTGCCTTTGTTGCTTAGAACTGTCTTTGCTATTCTAGGTCTCTTCTCACTCTAGATGAATTTTAGGAGTGATTTCTCTAGATCTATGAGGTATGTTGATGGTACTTTTATCGGGATTGCATTGAATTTGTATAAGAGTTTTGGGAGAATGGCCATTTTCACAATATTTATTCTTCCTATCCATGAGCAAGGGGTGTCTTTCTAAGATTTCTAATATTATCTTCAATTTCTTTTTTCAGTGTATTATAATTTTCCCTGTATAGGTCTTTTAAAAAAATTTTATTTAAGGAGAAAAAGAAAAAAAAAGCAGAAAAAGGGTACATGTTATACAGAATTTCAGAAGAAAAATAAACAGTAGGAAATCACTAGTTAATGGATTACATATTGTCATTTTAGAAATATTTGTTTAGGTTACAAAATTAAAGCATATAAAGTGGACATTCAAACTGTGAGAGTACAAACAGTTCTGTTCAATGATCCAACAAAACTCTGTAATGTCATTGTCTA